TGATGGAGATGTTAAAATCTAATCTGAACTATTAAACAGACAGCTTTCGATCCCCTTTAAAAAAAAAATGAATCAAAAGCAAAAAGAACGTAATGCTACTATTTGGCTTGAGACAGTTTTCTGCAAGTCTTGGTTCACAGGACAGAAATGCATAACATTTTGATAGAGGCATACAACGTCTTTTGGAGGATGTTTCTGCCCGAGGTTGGCTCAGTGAAATGGTCCGCTCACACGAACTGTCCCAGCATTACTTACTATCTCTTAAGTACATGGTTCTTGTGTATTCCTATGTGCTGCATGTTATGAAGGAGCTACGTATTCGTTTCATTTGGCTGAGCAGTATCTTCAATGTCACCTAGGAAAGCTCAGAGAGCTTTTTCACTTAAGCCATTAATTTTCTTTCCCAGACTAAAATATACATACCACATTAGTAAAGCTTTTGTACGTGCAGGATTGCAGTTGGGTGCAAATAAAGAACTAACTGATCTGGGGAAACTGTTCCCAGTGACTTCTAAGCTAACATTAAATGTTAGGAACAATGGTAAATTATGTATTTCATCCTAAAGAGGTATGGGTGAGACAAGTGCTATCAGTCTGCATAGGTAAAAGATGCAAAATTGTCTAGAACAGTTCTAAGGACAAAGATCTAAAAACTAGGTTTCATGAGTAGATGTAACTGGTAGAGAGACTGCAAGAAAAGAGGATGTACAGTTTTAACAAGTATAAAACTAGACCTTTTGTTTTCAAAGGCAATAGGAAAGAGTAGAATCAAGTGGAGAATACCAGGAGCCATCCCAAACATTGGAACAAAGGGCAGACCGAGAGGCCAGTAAGAATCAATGCAGAACATACTTCAAATCTTACTTTTTGCATTGTCTCCATTTCTGCTGGCTAACTAATCCTCATCTGTCATCTGAATTTTGCAAAGCAAGCAAGTGCTATGTCATATTAAAGTTTTTAGATTAAAGGAAACCATTTTTTGAAGTCAACAGACTTAAGTTTGAATAGAGACTTATTAAAGGTGTGTGCTAGGGTTCGGCTACAACAGACCTTCATGGATAACATAGAGGGGCTATTAATCCTGCTGGCTAAGTTTTACAACCAACTTTTCTGAAGTAAACAGTTGTTTTTAAAATAAAAAAAAAGATGAAATAATAATTTTATTGCAAGTTGTTAAATGTCCATTTCTCTAAAGTTCTTGTAGAAGAAGTTCATTAAACTTTTAAAAACCCAAATAGAAATGTTTAATTAAATATAGACATAAAAACTATCCATTTTAGAGAAGTGAATAATTAGATACTGGTAAAAATTAGGACTGCTCATGGTAGCATTTTAACATGACATACTGTTGCCTTAAGTAGTCCTTCATAACTGTTTAAACTGTATGCTTTGATGTTTTCTAATGAGTTATTTCTTAAGATCTACAAGGGGAGTAAAACCTGAAGGTCAGAAAAAAATGTTTGCAGAAGAATTTACTAATCTGGTCAGGTGACTAATGGTAATTCAATTTCACAACTCTCCCAAGGAGCTAACCCCTAAGAACTGTGTGAAGTTGGGGGAAAACCAGTAAGCTTACCAGCCAGTTTGGCTAACAAGTTTTTCATCTGCAGACAATTAAACCATGGATCTTAAAAAAAAAAAAAAAGGTAAAAAAGCTACAAAAAAAGTGGCATTGAATTTTTTCCAGAAGGAAATTACATTCTACCCTTTTTGAATTCATACATATATGATCAAAATTTCCTTGTATTTTCCATAAAAACTTTATATCTGGACTAAGATCAAGTGTGGAGACTTTCAGATCCAAGAGATAGTTTCCAAAAAGCTAAATGTGTATGTAAGATGAGGTAATAATGAAAACTGTTCCACAATATTAACTATAATGGTTACTACCAATGAAAGCAAAAATATCATGTTACATTCAGGTAAATTAGCTTGATTTCCAAATAACAGTGTTGCATATAACATATATGAAATTTAACACCATGCACCTTTTTTCATCCTCTATATTTTTCCCAATTAAATCCATGGAACAAAGAAATAGAGCTTCTGAATATACAAAGGTCAGAAAGCCATGGTGTCCTTACCATCCATCAAGATATGCTGTAGCCTTTAAAACATGGAGGATGAAGTTTTAATCATGCCTCAAGGCAATGCCTTTCTATAATTTTGGCCTACTTCTTTTCAGTGACCTAAGACCACAAAACTCCACAATTTTATATTTATTTATTTACATATACATATATGTATAAATAGACATGTACATATAAACACTGTGTTGCTCATGATTTTAAAGTATTGGGGGCCTAGGATGTATTGGAGTTTTTTGTTTGTTTGTTTTTTAAATTTCCAGTATGGATGAGGTTCACTGAATAATTATTTCTAACTTAAAATTTCTATAAATTCAAGCAGTTAAAAATCCTCATCAGTTAGCATTACCAAACAACAACAATTTCAAGAACTGTGAAATAAGTTAAAGACTGGTATATAATTATACTAAGGCATTTCAATATAATGAAGAATCGCCTTGGAAGTGTTTCAGTCTTGGATTTTCTGATGCATAAGATAAATGAAATTCTTTGAACCTGCTTTTGTTACAGCCTCTTAGGTGAACAACATACTCCAAAACTTAAATCAAGTTAACATACGTTTAGTAAAAAGCAAACATCAGCCCTTAAAAGACTCAAATTGCTCTTGTCAAAAATGTGCTGAATTGGTATTTTAAGACTTTCATAAAAGGAAGGATTTGAATTCCAGACTTTTACTACTTATCACAACTCTAAACATTTAAGGCTTAGATTGATAAAAAACTGCCTTTCAGCAGTGTTTTCTTCCCCTAATCTGAAATTAATCTGAATTAAGAGCAAGGTATTTTTCCCTGAAGTTCTGATCCTCCTTTAATCAAGTAAGGTCCTAAATTTGTTAAATTTAAAATTAATATTACGTGTGTTACTCCATGTAAAAAATTTTTTTTTAAAACTCCTTTTCTTTTTTATTCATTTGAAATAAGATCAGGACGTACCGTACATTCCCTCAAGTTAAACAGACACTTGCATATTATCTACACATTTATTTTTTTTTACGTATTTCTTATGGTGACATTCAGGATAGCTTTTTAGAAGTGTGATTTCAGCCAGAATAACTACAACATCAGTGACAAAGCTGTGTCCCTCAGTCTGACTGCTGCAGAAGTATTTTGAAAATAGAGCTTTTAAAACTGTGAACAAGTTATGCAGGTATAAAAATATATATAAAATGATTTGTGTATATTACACCTACACACACACACACACACACACACAATTTCTGTGCTGCCTCAAAATTGTTCACCTCCTCTCCTTCCCTTCCAAGCAATTAGCCAAAAGCGGTAACTCAAATTAAGGCTGCAAAATCTGATAATTTTTCGACCTGCTACTATAAAAAAATATATGTATCAAACAAAACTTCCATATTTTTCACTCACTGTACAGGACAGCTCAAATGACCGTTACATTTGTAAAACAAAATTATTTCTCAATGGATACCTCCCTTGCACAATAACTTGCAACCTCAAAATAATTTTAATAACCACTCCACTCACACAAAATGGTGTTGTGGTTTGTTTTTTTTAGTATGAAAAAGAGTGAGACAATCCCCAGTGTTGTGCTACAAAGCAAGGCAGGAAAATATGTTAACACTCAAAAGGAAACCCAAGTGTTACCAAACAACATTGTAACCTTTTAATGTCATGGGCCCAACTTGAAGAGAACTCACTGTAGGCAGGGAAGAGCATTGCACCCCCCTGCACTCCTGAAAAAGCCACGCTGCTCTCTGCATCTGCTCTGCGAGGTCTACACTACTCTTACAGTAATCCCTTTGAAAAGGGCCGGCTGGAGATTAAAATTTGCAACAGGCAGATATTTACCTCTAACCCCACCTTCCAGCCAGATGACAACTAATTCAAAATGAAAAACAAACAACAACAAAAATCAGCTGAACATTCCCCGAAAGCTTGCAAAGAACACATTTTTCCAACTATCCAGTTGGTCTAATAAAAAAAAAAAAAAAAAAAATCGACCCAAAGAACCTTGTCTGCTGAACACTGCAAGAAGCCACCGGCTCCATGTGGTTTCAAAAGCACCCTCCTTCCCCCAAGTTTCAAAAGTTACAGATTAAAAAACAAAAACGCCATGAACACCCAAAAGTTGAACGCTTGTTTTGATCTCCAACTCCGAGTCTCCCAACGCCTATCGACGGGGGGTTGTGCCTGCACACTTGCAAAGAACTTTTCCCACCCCCAAAGCTTGAGTTGATTTAATACAATTAAATAATCACCTCTCCCCAAAGAACATGAGCACTGCAAGAAGCCACAGCCTGCATGTGGTTTCAAAAGCACCCTCCTTTCCCCCACGTTTCAAGTTATAGATTTAAAAACCAAACCAACCCACGAACGCCCTGAAGTTGAATGCTTGTTTTGATCTCCCCATGCCTGTCCAAGGAGGGTTGTGCCGGAAAAATTGCGGATTTGTGCTCTTAAAAGCGCACAGGAACTCCCCCCCCCCTCCACTAAGGATCGAGTTGGTCTAATAAAAGATCTCACATCTCCCCAAAGAAACCTGAACGCTGCAAGAAGCCAGGGGTGGTTTCGAAAGCACCCTCCAGCCCCCAAGTTTCACCAGCTACCGATTTAAAAAAACACCAAACAACCACCCACCCACGAAACTGAATGCTTGTTTTGCTCTCCAACTCGAGAGTCTCCCCATGCCTGTGCAAGGGGGTCCCCCCCCCCCCCTTTCCACTCGCAAACAACTTCCCTCCCCCTGCTCGGATCCGTCTCCTTTTCCTCTCTCTGTCTCGCAGGGTAGCAAACAAACAATGCGGAGCGGCGGCGGCGGGGCCCTGTGCTGTGGCAGGGCGGAGCAGGCCGGCAGCCCAAGAAAGGTCACCCGCCCCGCGGCTGCAAAACTTTGCAAGTTTGAGTCCCGGGCGCGGCCTCCTCCCCTCCCCTCCCGGCCGGCTCTTACCCTTCTTGGCTTTGGGCGAGTGCCTCTTGCTGCGGTGCTGGGCTCGCTCCTCCTCTAGCGCGGCGGCGATCTCGGCGTTGTCTTCCCCATTGTACCAGACGAGCAGCTCCTGGCCCGGCTCGATGGGCTGCGCGGGGCAAAGACACAAGCGCGACAGCGGTCAGGTCCTAGGGCCGGGCCGGGCCGCCAGCGGCTGGACGCCGCGCCCCCCCCAAGCCTCC